CCCCCGTTTGCTTTCCATTGAAGCCAATGAATTTTGATTTGGGGTAAGACCAGCAATGATAACCAAGACCAACAGGTGCTCCACTTACAGAAGCTGGGCAAAGTAGCAGATTGGATTACCCCTGTGCTAGAAAGGACCATGGGTGACTCTTTCCTCCAATACCCAGGGCTGCTCTGCCTGGTACCTCTTCACTCTGGGGTCAAATAAATGCTGCATTTCTGCGACAGAGACACCAGCATACCCATCAGGAGCAGAGAAACACATGTGCAATACAGGAAAGATGGTGAACCCCAGCTGGCTAATTCTACCTGCCCTAAGACAGCAACTCATTAAAGAGAATGTGCCTCTTAAAGCAACTGCAACTTCTAGGCTTGGGCAGAAGCCCCCAAATCATTAGTTGGCTTCAGTGAAAAGCAGAGAGATGCTGTACTTGCATTTCTGTGAGGTCCAAAGCAAAGCACTTCTGAATAATTTCAGACGTGTGCATAGCCCTAGAAAGTAATGCTTTAATCCCAGTATTAGAAGGTAATTGTGGAACTACAAAATGTGGTGTTGGCTCATGCAAACTGAATTTTCATACCAACTAGCTGAAGGCTGATTTTCCTTTACTCCCCATATTACTTCATTACATGGAAAGGAATTATGAGAAGAATTTAGAGCAGGTAGCTTTATGCTAAGGGGGAAAATAGGAAAGTTTCCAGTCTGAAGGAATTCTGGACTATCCTTCTAATTGGCAAGTATTCACTGAGTCCTCTCAAAAGAAAAAAAATTCTGTATCCTATTTAAAAAAAAAAGGGAGGGGAGGATTTGGTTTGTGTAAGAAACTTCAAGGATGAATTAATAGATATCCTCTGCATACTTCGTTTCCTTCTAATTAATAAAATAACAGCTTGAACATTCCTTAGTAAATCAGGCAAAAATTATGACAGTGGTTTGTTTATTAAATTAGGTTGCTGGCAGGGATGGAAAAAATCTATAGTATGAATTATTGCATAAAATGTCTCATGGTCTACATAAAAGTTAAAGCTAAATAAATACAGATGTAAGTTATGTTTATATAATAAGAAACACTGCTGAGCTAAGAATTTTTGGTTGGAAAGTGCAAACTTGTGGATCTGATACATTATGCATTTACCACATGACCAAATTTATTATGTAAGTAGCTCCTATAACATAAAGAGGGCTGTTTTGCATATATGCAAAGTAAAATGATAGGGTATAATAATATGGCATCCTGATAATGAGGCAAGAGATTGTGTTTTTTCACCAATGATTCCTACAAAGATGGCAGTTCATATTTTCATGCTGCAAGGTTTTTATAACATGGTATTAGTTTCCTAGGATAAATTTCAGATAGCTCAGTGATAAATATTGTTAGCATTGGCACAAACTATTTATACATGCATGCTAATACTAATTGGAATTGTGGGAGATCAGTATCCTAGTTGTTGCAGTCTCAACAGGCCTTGGCTGAACCTCTCCATGTGGCTTCTCTGGAGCACAATCCCTTCACCCAAATGTAGAGGGCAGAGGGAATGTCCTTGAGTGACAGGAGGAAGAGCCACCACCAAGACAAGTCAGATAAAAGAGGACTGAGTCTGAGATAGGAATGTAACCTGAGAAAGTGACTCAGACAAGCCCCTCCCTAGTTCTCATGAATATAAAGGGAGGGAGGGGAAAGTGCACGGAGACTTGCAAGACTTTGTTACTATAGTTTTACAATAAAAGTAGTATGGATCTACAAAACATTGGATTACTAGTCTGCCCTACCTTGAAGGGCTGACAGTCACCAGTTTTAATGCATAAGGCAAAAATCATACACAGCAATTCTTTGAGGTTGGGTGAAGGACGCCATCAGTTGTGGTAAAACCATCAGTTTTTAAACTCTGCCAGCTTGGCCAGCTACAGCATAAGACTAGTCCTTTTTTCACATCCTGTTTAATTTTTAATTTATCTATTCATTTTTTTTTCATCAGTGAGAGAAACAAGCATTATGCCCGCTCCAGGACTGGTATAGCTTTTCCTTCTTACTGGGAAGGCGGGGGAGACGCTGAGGGAACAAGATGCCTTTGTATTATCTAAATCATGGGTGGGCAACCAGTACCTCAGTCTAATTTCATGCAGTCTTTGGCCTAATTTCAAAAGCCCTCTGTAAGCAATCAATTCATACTTCTGGCAAAAGGAATCTGTCCTGGCCGGTTACAGAGAAATAAAGTGTTAAAGAAGGTGACAGGGGAAGGGGGAGTGAGCAAATAAGTACCCCATCCATATTTGGCTCAGGGTCGACCTACTGTTTTCTTCAACTCTACCCACCACTGACAATGGACTCTGTATTTACTTAACTTTAACCTTAGCAATAACAGAAAGGGGTTGCCCATCCCCTATTGTCAATTCAAGATCTCTTATGTGGCCATAGAGGAGGAGGAGGAGGAGGAGAAAGTCATTGTACATCTACCCCAGTCAAGCTTTTCACCACTCTGCTACTAAAACTCTGCAATGGCAAAGCAGCATTTCCACAACAGTCTCCAGCCTGCTGATGGACTTCAAGACTGTAGCTTTCACTATCAGTTTTGAAAGCAGAGTACACAAGCTTCATGCTACAGATAGCCTTCTAGTAAGATGCATTCAGCACCCACTTTGCTTCTTTTAAAGGTTATATATAACCTTTTGAAAAAGCCAAAAACAGCCCCTGAGCAGCAGCACCCAAAACACCCCTTTGCACCGTGCTCCTGGGCTGGGCTGGGCTGGGTTGGGCTTTTGGCCTTTTTTAATTCTGCAGCTCAAAGCAAAAGCCCAGCCCACCCAGGAGCTTTTTGCAAAGGGGCTTTTTGGAGCAAGAAGATGGAGAAGATCAGCTGGGGCAGTGGAGTGCAAGGCAGCAGGGGTCTTGGAGTGCAGGGTGGTGAGGGTGACTGCGGCTGGGACTGGGCTGGGGTGGCTGCACATTTCTGAGAGTTCTGTGGCTGCTTGCCGCCCCGCAAGGCAAGGTGCAGGGCAGTCAGAAGGGCAGAGATGGGGCAGGAGACAGGTGGGTGGGAGGAGTTAGCGGCAGCCCCTTACCTTACTGAGGCTCAGGGATGGGAGGGACCAAGCCCAGAATGGCTTGGATTGGGATGGGTACTTGCTTAATGACCCGTGTTTCTCAATTAACAATGGCAACTGGGACTGCTGGAGTTGCAGTCGCTAAGCGATGTGGTCATGTGACATGTCACTTTACGGCCACATCGCTTAGTGACAGAAAGTCAGGCCCCAGTTGTGGTTGTAAGTCAAGGACTACCTTTATTACTATTTTACCATCACTGACCCAATATATACAAATTTGCAGAGATTCTTTCACTTTCTTACACATCATAGGACCGGAAATCTTTAGGAACATTCTCTACATAACAGAAGGCAACCTTTGTGGACTTAGAACATTAAGTACATAAATGAACTCTCTACAGATACTGTTCTTAGCCACTTCAGATTTACAAACATAATTGATTATGTGATGGTAAGAACTCTCCCATAATACGATTGAGCCCTACTTCAATGCATAAGCTGGATTTGTAGGATCACTCAAATAGGTTGAAAATTCAGGGCCAGTTTTGAGCAAAATTCACAAAATTCTGCACCAGTTTTGAGCATAGGAAGAAAATGGGGGGAGAAAAAGCCCAAGGACCCACAGCAAAAGAAGAAATGGCAACCAACAAAAAATGCCTACCATGTTCCAGATAAGAAGGCGTACCTTCCGAAGGATCAAGCCTTCGAGCCCTCCGCCCGTGTTTGGAGTTATTGTGCACAAACATGTTATCCGACACTGCCAAGACATGGCCATCCACATTGACTGTTGTAGATACCACAACCTGCAAGTGGAACAGCAATATAAGGAAACACTTTAATGCAATTTAAAGTCAAATAAGCACAGAGACTAATAAACCCAGAATCTTAAATAACAGCTGGGAGCGGCAGAAAATTGCACAGCTATTTCGCATAATAACTAGTGCCTAGACTGTATGACTCTAACAAGAGGTGCTATTGATGAGTGGGTCTTTGGCATCACAGGCTTTTGATGTCATTTTAGTCAAATTGCACAGTTTGTAGCTGCATAAAGGAATATACACTGTTAACCATAATTTTAACAAGAGCAGCTTTATTAACTCCTTTTTAAAAGAGCTGGCTGCATATTACCCCACATCATCCTTCAGCACGCATGTGAGAATAGATAAACTGTTGTCACTGCAAATGAGAATTGAGTCAAGTACAAAAACAAAACCAAGTGTGGTTTCTAAAATTGTGATTAGAGCAGCTGAATTCACCATACTGTTAATTATTCAGGAAATTCTCCTGAACACGGGGGAGAGAAAGAAGGATTGTATGTGTAAAGGCTATTTAAGAACTTAAATGAACACTGCTTTTCAAATCCAAGCAGACATTTTCTTTATCAAGTAATCAAGTTTGAATTCACAGACTTTGCAAACTTTGACTTATCCTAATTTTTTGGAACAACTAGACATGGAAATACTGTTTTGCTGTACTATGTAGGACACATGGATATATAAAAGGCACAGAATCAACCAGTGGATATATTTACTGATAAATGATAATTTTACTGATAAAAGATAATTTTTTGAGCAAGTTGATAAAGGATTTTCATGCAGCAACACTGATAAAAATATGCATTGTTTTGTGTAGTCACTATGGATCAAAAATAGGATCCAGTAGTGATTATTTATTATAATTGAATCTAATTTATATTAAAGAAAACTTGTTAGAGGCTGTACGAAAAGCTTCAGCTTTAAGGAGTTAAGCAACAAAGTAGACAACAGAGGCATTAAGATGATCACATTTATGATACTGGAATTATTATTATTATTATTATCACCATCACTATCACCATCTCCTTCATCGCATTATTTTATTTATTGTATTTAGTCTCATTTATATTAAGAGAATCTTAGAAAACAGCTTCTACTGTACTTTAAGCAGTTAAATAACAGGGTACTCAATGGATGCCTTAGGATGATCACATTTATGAAGTTAGCAAGCAGGATGACTCATTGGTATTTGAATCATCCTGGATTTTTTAATCTTCAAACAACTCTTGCATTTGGCTTGCTACAGAGAATGGGCAGTTTAGGCTTGTAAGAGGATGTGTTTGCCTTTGAACAGTGGGTTACCTAGATGACTTTCACTAAGTGCCTGAAGTAGCCATTGTGCAAATGTGCATTGCTTAGGACATGATTACACAAATATGAAAAGGAACAGCCATCCACTTAATAATGGGGCTCTTACATAGTGCTTGCTACAGCACTACCTATCTCCCAGTGTTGAAGGATTTTATTGTTAAATCACATCCAGATACTTTTATCTCAGCACTAGTCATTATGATTATATTACACTTATCTTGCAGGTTCTGTATTGGTTATCAATAGACTTCCAGATGCAATTCAAAGTGCTAGTTTCAACGTACAATATCGAATATGGCTTGGTATCTAGATATTTCCAGGACTGCTGATTCCTACCAGATTTGACCCACCTGAGGGTCCTTCTGGGAGTGGCTGCATGGGGTATTCGAATTCTGTGAGGTGGATAGGGCTGAAGCCCAGGTTTCGCATCTTGCACTAATTGCCTCCCTCAAGAAATTAGGCTGGCCCCTTAGTGATGGCCTTCCTGAAGTTACTGAAGACCAAAATGTTCTGGAAGGCCTTCAGGGAATAACTATTCACCATCACCTATATAAATGTGATAAATAAATAAATCAGCGTTTGGATGCTGAACTATTATGTATTGTGTACTAATTGCTGGTTGGAGGATGTTATGAACACCCTGTATTGTGACTTTTCTTTACTGTGGATGTTTTGTTTTACTCTGGTATTGTTGTAAACCTCCATGAGTCTACCAAGATTTGGCAATACAGAAATTTAAAATAATAATAGTAATAATAATACTCACTTCCATTTCTGTAAACAAATATAGCCTAAGCATTAAGTCTATCTGTTACCTTGAGATTAAGCAGAGGTTATTTTATCCATCCTTATTGTGAATAAATGCCTCTCCACGCTAATATTAATGTACTACTGTGCTTGATCGGGGGGAGGGGTGGTTAGGGGATAAGAAAAGAAACCAGAGATTAATAATACAATCTTGTGCCTGGTTAATTATAAATTCAATGGGACTTATTCCAAAACCAACAGACACGATGAATCAACAAAACAAATCACCAAAGGAAATTTTGGTGGGGCATTTCACAAAACTGTTTTCGTTCAAGTTATTGGGAAATTCCACATCTGCCTGGCTGCATCACTGCTTTTTACCAACTTTACCTAACTATGCATTCAACCTAAAGGCTACGTTTCCATTCCACTAGCACTCATTAAGCATCCCGAGCTAATTACAGCCTCCCTCCCATGAACCTGTGCTGCCTTCCAGAACTTTTGCTAAAACAATAAGAAGAAATGACCTACACTTCTCCTTAAATTAAACAAGGAAGGGGGATTAAAAATTGAAACCCACTGAGATATGTTTATTCATGCGACCTCTTACAACCAAATATAATAATTGTCTGTTAATTGCAGTTTCAGCTCCCACCTCATGCTTCAACATGTGAAACTGCAATCAGCTGGCTCCTGTTTAATCCACCTATTATGTTGACTAATTAACTTTGCTCGACAGTTTATTTCTTCCTCCATTATCAGCCCCTGTCAGCCTCAAGCACAGCGCCGCTAAGGGAGACCTCAGCCTCTTTGATTGATCACCGATAGATTGACATGCAGATTAATTTAATTAGAATCACCTCACTTGAGAAATGAAAGACAATGGCAAAGGGGCTAATAGATCTGCTCTTATAATGAGGCTACCCTCCAGAGCCAAGGAAGAGGATTTCTGATTTATTTTGCTGAATTCCCCAGTCGCTCCACAAGGCTCTTGCTTTAATTGTTCTTGGTATTGAGAAGCTTTAGCCTCTGAAGAGGTGAAATGCTTTACAAGGATTGGCAAACATTACTTCAATTCTCCAAGGAAGCTGTTACCCTCTCAAAGTTGCATGAACAGAAAGGGTTGCTTGCAAGAATTTTCTTACAGGGCTCGAAATGGGTAAAAGGGGAGAAAATGAAGCAAGTTCTTCAAGTAATATTTTATGAACTGTAATAAATTTCTCAAAAACATGTTTTGTCATTTCTTGACCTAAAACACTGTTTAATCCAGCAGTTCCAGTTTTTTTGTTTATTTAATCTCTCCCTCCCTCCCTCTCCTCCCCAATTTATTAATGTTTACAAGCCTGTGAACGTTAACATGATTTATGCCTGGATATAGCTTGTCACAGGATGCCGTGGGTTCATTTCATCATAAACTTAAACAGTTTTAGAAGCTAGAGTTCTGAACGAGATAGAACCAGCACATTACTTAGACCATGCTGGAAAAGAAACACATCAGAAAGAGTTTGAAATTAAATTTAAGTCGCTTCAATTTGTTTCTATAATCATAGTTCATAGACACAGTTCCCCACATGGCAAATATGTACCTAGGTAGAAAACTGAATGTGCTGTGACAAAGATTTCACACAAAACATTATATGATGACAATCCCTCAATAAAAGATTGCAATGATCAGTCACTACATCTGTCCAGAATTTATTTTGCTTATTTTCAGCTACTGAGTACTATACTGCATATGGAATATTGAACTGTTTCAACTGGACAGGTTTAACTAATAGCTCTTACTCAAAATGCTCTGTTATCAGTGCATAAAAATTTCATTTTTTAAAAAATAAAATAATGATATTGAGATTTGTACAAATTATGTACACTGGAGTACAGAATATATTTTACACTGATGAGCAATGTACAGTCTTGGCCATTTAAGTCAACTAAGAAATACAAATATCCCCAATATGTTTACAATATTATTAAATTCTACAAATATATAAAGCAAAAATCATACACAAGGTGCTAAACATACTCAGATACTGTAACACAACCCTCCTCATGGGCATCTGCATGGGTTGGAAGGAACATGTGATGTTATGCATGTCATGATGTCATTGTGCAAATGATGGAAATAACATACTGCATGTCATTTGTGACAGGACATCATGACATAACACAGACAAATTACATAATTTGGGTGATGACATCATGATGCATGTAATAGCGTGATCTCTACAGGACACCCATGGCCCTTGCACGGCAAGTTCCTGGGATATTATGGCTTCTTCTACAGTGGCTAAACCGTCTGCTTAAGGAATGGGCAACACAAGCGACTGCTGTTCTTTTTCAGATGGGGAAAATTTCCAGAGTGGGGGTGGTGGAGACACATTTAAGGATTGGTAAATTCTCAATACATTTCAAGTATGCTGGTATCAAGGATGAAGGCTTTTGCTCCTACTCAGTAAAAGAGACATGCCACTTAAGACAGTTGGTCAGGAACCAACACAAAGTTTCCCTCCACAGACATCCTCCAAACGCATTAGGAGTTTACCAATCTGTCCTGTTATATTTCCTTTTCTCAATGGATTTTAAGCCTGGGTTTGATACCTATCTTTTGTGAAAAATCTGGCTGCCTGCAAATGCTGTTAATACACAGTTTTAAAGACTAAACAAAAAGAGGAGAATAAAAGAAAAAAAAGTCACACACTAAAGTGTTTCAGGAACATAAATCCTAACAAATCCAACTGTTTAATACTATTCCATTTAAAAGAACTAAATCAGAGTTCCAAATAATGCTGTAACTGGAGTTCTGATCCTATAAAAGAGAATGCAATATTTTTCTCCGCAGGAGAACGTTGATTAACTTTTTTTTACCAGAGTAATCTCACTGAAATCCGTTATTTAATTCTTGCTACCCACAACATCTGCAAGATTGGGGA